GCTCCTTTCTTGCTTTGAGTAGCTTGGGTTTTCGGCTTCTCCCTGTGACTGACCATATTGAAGATGACGTCCGCCAGCTGGGAAGCATTTGTTCTGAGGACTCCTCCCCCTTCCTGCACTGTTTTGTTACTGTCTGGGTAGCTCTGGACAATTCAGGTCCTGTTAATCAGGAGCGTATTCTCAGAGGCCCCAGGATCCAGCTCAGTGTATTGACTGTAGGCCTGGTGACAGATTTTCTCCTGAAAGGCACAGGGCTCCTCATCTGCCAGGTGGTGTACGGGTTGGACCATATGGAGACTTTTCTGTTTGGGTACCCCTCTCCTCATTCCTTGCAGAATATGTTTTTATAATGTTCCAGCAGCCCTATTTCCCTATGATTTGGGTTCCAATCGGGCTCATTAGTGGCCATAGCAGCTTCAGGAGCCAGGATGCTGTGTGTCCTCATGAAGCCACTCATCTCCTTCCCTACACAAACTTAAAATGAGTCTCTTGTCATCGCTTGTGAGTAGAGTCTCTAACAGAGCCTGCAAATCATTCTTGGTAGGATGTGTACATGTTTTCCAGTTAATTAGATCAGAAGTAAAAAAGAAACTGTGTGCCCCCCGCCCCAAATCCTGCTAGTTGTCTGCTATCAGTAACAGCCATGGGGAAATGTCACAATAGGTTTTGCCCTACCCACTCTCAGCAACTCCCTTGTCAAACTGGTACATGACCAAGCGTGCGGAGGGGAAACCAATGAAGGTAAGCCCTTCATCTTACTTTCCTCAGGGGAGCAAGACAGAGAAGAAGGTGAGGAGGAAGGAGAGAATGGTGGAGTGGGAGGTGTCTTGGCATTCAGGGAGTGCAGGGTATGGGTGTCCCTATATACACCTCCAGCGGGGGACAGAAGGTGGCTTAGGAGAAGGATGTAATGATTGCATTTCTGAAGTCGTGGAAGGGTAGTCAGATGAGGAACCAGAGGGGGCCAAGTATTGCTCTGTGATCCATGAGCTCATGTCCCTCCTCCCTTGAATCCTGGTTATGAAAGATAATAAAAACATGTACATAAGGAATTTCACTTCATGTAAAACACCAGTGAGGAGTCATCAGTCCCCAGAATCCAGAGTATAAAAAGGACAAGTTTGGTTAAAATAAAACACCATCTTTTTCTTAGTCATATGTTTATAAACATAAGAATGTCAATGAGACAGAATATGCCCTAATGGGCTTTCTTCCAGAACAGTTTGGAGCCTATCACAAGCAACCAGGTTCCCAGATTAGAGATTAGAGCCTCTCAGACACAGCTGTAGCTACAGATACAGAAATGTCAACCTTACAAGTTGCAACTTTTCAGAGACTTATGTTAATTAATATAAATTAATTCTATAAATAAATATATAATTAATATAAATGGCCTTGCCAGATGAAACCAGAATCTTAGTGTTTTGGTTTCAGAAGTGAGGAGGTCAGGAGATGATGGGTTGTAGCCCAGGAGCTCTTGAAGGAAAGGGGCCTTCAGCAATTGCTAGAAGTCTCTGGTCCTTCTACCTGAGGTCCCCCAGCCCAGGCAGTCCAGGGGGCCTCCCAGCCAGGGATCTCCGCATACTGGAAGGCTCAGAAGAATCCTAAAACATGGTCACTACTCTGTTGCCGGGAGCAAGGGTCCAGGTTTGCCTATCACAGTTTCAGCCAAAGGCAGAGACCATGTTGACTGCAGCAGCTCTAAATTTATTTCTGCAAGCATGAGACAGAAGAAATCTGTGGGGTTTGCTACTTCTACACTGCTTCAAAAGTTCAGTGAAAATCAAATTATAGACCCTAACTCCAACTGAAGTGGCAGAAACAAATTTTACAGTTTTACAATTATACATCTATGTATATACATTTAAATCTCCTATACATATATTTTTCAGTGTATATTTTTCATACTCAATGTAAAGAAGCCCCAGATCCTTACAAATGGACCAATAGGTAACATCATGATAAATGGAGAAAAGTTTGAAGTTGTCAAGGATTTTGTCGTTCTTGGATCCACAATCAATGCTCATGGAAGCAGCTGTCAAGGGGTCAAAAGATGCATTTCCCTAGGTAAATCTGCACAAGCCCTCTTTAGCATATTGGAAAACAAGGGCATCTCCTGACATCTTGTCGGGAGAGCTCAGTCCCTGGAGAAGGGTATCACGCTGGGTCAAGTGGAGGGGCAGTGAGAAGAGAAAGGCCCTCCCAAGATAGGTTCATATAATGGCCGCACCCACGAGCTCAGTCATCGGAGCAATGGTGAGGATGGTGCGCCGGACCAGGCAGTATTTTGTTCTCTTGTGCATAGGGTGGCTGTGGGTTGGAACTGACTCGATGGCACCTAACAACAACAATAAGAAGAACCTAATTTTGCGGGGTTCCATTAATCAGGAGTTTAGCATTTGCCAGACTTCCGTCCCTCCATCGCCATGTTCTACTGCTCATCCAAGTGGGGAGTGGCTTCATGCTTGACTGCTTCTTCTAACGGTTGCGCTTGCCACAGTCCTTCCGGTGTTAGAAGACCGTCCCTCCTGGCTCAGATAAAAGGAACTTCCGTGGCAAGGGGAGGGGTCTGCTGGTGTATTCTGTTACAGAAAACTCCATTTTAAATTTCTGACAAACAAAATCTTAAACTGTTATAATTCTTGTAATTTTATTAGTAGAAACTACATCTTTCGCACCCTCTAGCAATATTTTTGTTTAATGTTTTTTAATAAATCATTTTATTGGGCGCTCTTACAGTTCTTATAACAACCCAAACATCATTTGTATCAAGCACATTTGTACATATGTTGCCATCGTCATTTTCAAAACACTTTCTTTCTACTTAAACCCTTTAGTATCAGCTCCTCTTTTTCCCCTCCCTCCCCCACTCTCCCACCCTCATGACCACTTGAGAAATTATAAATTATCATTATTTTTATATTTTACACCATCCACTGTCTCCCTTCACACATGTTTCTGTTGTCCATCCCCCATGGGGGAGAAGGGGTTATACATCGATCCTTGTGATCAACTTCCTCCTTCTCCCCCCACCTTCCTCCTATCCTCATGATATCGATACTCCCATTATTTTTCCTGACGGATTTATCTGTCCTAGATTCGATGCGTTGAGAACCCTTATAATGTTGGAGCAAAACAAATAACCAATTCATATTAGAATTCTTTCCATTAGTTGAAAGATATATATCACAACTGACTTGTTTGATTACTAGATAAATAAGATTAACTCATTAAAAAAATGCTGTGAGTTAGACATTAATGTTGTTTCCGAGATGTGCTAACAAGATCAAGCAGTCAAAGAGCCAGTCAACTTGTAACATGTTAGGTCTCAAAAAAAATCTATGTTGTTAGCCATCAGGTGATACCTAACATTTCTTAGAAATGTAAACTGATTCAGTTTTCATTTACGTGTCATTTGGAGAAAAATAATTCTTAATTGAGCCAAACCACAGTTAGACGTTAACATATTATTGACTAACAAGACTTCAAGGCCTTGGACAATACCCACTGTTGCATGACTAATAGTCATGAGGCACTCCTCTGCTATTGAGAAATTCTTTCCATTTCCCTCCTCGGGAAAATGAAACTCACCTTTGTTTCTATTCATCATATAATTCTGTTAGAATAACAGTAGCTAAACCTAATTGACTACTAAAAAATTGTCACTTACTTTTTAACATATATTAGCATTTTCAGCCTGCAAAAATCCCACAGGATGTTACATTTTGCAGATGGGGAAATAGCAATCCAGAGAAACTATTTGCCGCCAAGTCACTTGTTAAGTGGTGAAGCTACATTTGTATATGTAACTACCAGAGCTGTTGTAACTTTGTACAAATATCACAAAGACAAAACAACACTTATTCAAACACTATTATGCTGCTGCTTATTAGTTGCCATCAAGTTAGTCATTGATTCCTGTTGAACTCATGTACAACAGGAACCATTGTGATTCATAGGCTGCTTTTTCCGAAACAGTCTGTCTTCATTAGCTGTGTTTGTATTCACACCTGTGCAGCAGCAGCGTCATAGCAACACACAAGCTTTCAGATGGGAGTGGCATTGCCTGGAATCACACACAGGTCACACCTATGGAAGGCGATCATTCTACCGTTGCGCCCGCCCTGCCAAGCTTGCTTCAAATGTGTTGTAAATACAAGATCAGATTCTCAAATGCAATTTGTGTTAAAGTGAGCTAAAGAAAGAAAATTTCAGTGATATTTTCTAAGAAACACACTAATGCTTGCCCGTTATAAAGAATATTGGAAAACCTTGAATAATTCTAAGTAAAAATGACTCTTGAAAAGTGTATAGTCACAAAAGGACACATATTGTAAGATCCACTTAAATAGGCTGATAATTTAGTGGGTTATAACTTTGGGGGACAAGCCACAAGGTCAGCTGTTTGAAACCACCAGCTGTTTCCAAAGAGAAAGAGGAGGTCTACAGGGGCCTTTCTATTTCGTACCACAGGGTCGCTATGAGGGGGAATGGACCAGATGGCCTGGCTGGTTTAGACTGATGTAAAGAGACCAAGAGGATTAGTAGTTACCGGGGTAGGAGAGAGGGGGACAGGTTGTTCCCTAGTTTCTGTAAGTAGTGATGGGAGCATCTGGGAAAGAAATGTGGAGATAGATACAAAACACGATTAACTTAATGTTGCAGAATTGTGGAGGTGGAAATAGTTGAATTGGCAAACATTCTGTGTATGATACGAGTGTGTGTATATATATATATATATATATATATATTTAAAACAATAAAATCCATCTATTTACCATAATAAAACTATTCTAAAAAGTTACACAGAAAAATGAAAACAGTGACTCAGTAAAAGGCAGAATGGAAACCGAAACTTCAGAATTGGCTCAGTTTCAACTTTTTTCTAGGAAGAGGAAAATCGAAAGTGAACTCAGCTGAAAGTTACTCAGAAGGCGTGTCCTTCCTTCCGTCAGACAGATTGCTGGGAGGGGATGCAGATTCCAAGGTTAGCGTGTATATAAAGCTGTCTGTGCAGCATGCAGGGACAGCTCCCAGGTGCTTGGCCACAATGTGGGTGCTTATGCCACTTGCTTTTGCTGGAATGCTGCTGAAGGCTTTTAGGCAGCAGCTGAGTTCTCTGTGGTCGGCTCTGGTTCCACTGTTCTCCTTTCTCAGGACATTTTGGTTGGCAGGTCCCCAGAGGAAGCAGCAGCAGCAGCAGCATAAAGAATCACAAGCTGAGAATCAAAAGGTAGAAGACGACCTGCCCATTACTCCCACCAGCGTCAACTATCATTTCACGCGCCAGTGCAACTACAAATGTGGCTTCTGTTTCCACACTGCCAAAACGTCTTTTGTGCTGCCCCTTGCGGAAGCCAAGCGCGGACTGCTTTGGCTTAAGGATGCAGGTAAGTCCACACTCACAGGAAGGAGAGATGAGGTTCAACAACAGGTTAGTGTGGTGAGGCAAAGGTAGGATGGGGGCACACACAGGCTAGAGAGATTGCCCAGAGCTTTGAACTCTCATTTCCCATCCACAGTGGAAATGCCACCTGTAAGAAAATCTCCAGGAATTTTGGAGTAGGCACCCAGGTCTGCCTCAATTGTAGGGTTGGTCTAGTGTTGTGAATAAGTGTTGCCACTTTTCAGTGAGTAAAAATATATGCAAATGCCTGGCCCTTGTCTCTGTTGTTGTTGTAGTTAGGTGCCATTGAGTTGGTTCTGACTAAGAGAGATCCTAGGTACAAGGGAGAGGAAACAATGCCCGTCCTGTGCTGTCCCCACAATTGTTCTGCTGTTTGAGCACATTGTTGCAGCCACTGTGTCAACCAATCTTGTCAAGGACTGTCCCTCTACTTTGCCAAGTCCATGATGTCTTTCTCCAGGGACTGGTCTCTCCTGACAAAAGATCCAAATTACTTTAGATGAAGTCTTGCCATCTTTGCTTCTAAGGAGCATTCTTGCAAGTTGTACTTCTTGCAAGACAGATTCTGTTCTGCCTAGTACTTTGGAAAGGGCAGATTGGGAAGGGTTTTGCTGCTCCCTTGAGTTTGTTCAAATGCTTATTCTTAGAATCCAAACCACTCAAGGACTTGGCTTTTCCAGAAACAGGTAATAAGGAAAGTTCAAACAAAACCAATTTTTTTTAAACATAAGAACAACAGTGTTTAGCTCTCTTTTTGGATTATGTATGTGCTCTTAATGTTATTTTTTTAATAATTAAGTGGAAGTCCAACCTATTAATGACATTGCTTGCTGAACATCATCACACTAGAACTTTTCTGGCTCCTCAGATATTATTAGCATGTCTAATTCAAATGTAGTCTCTTGAGCTCCAAATCTGCCCTTCATTCCTTGCCTTCCTATCTTTCTTCTAACAACTTGAGCAATATCATTAGTACCTTTCTCTTCATTAGTAACTCTTAACAATGGAAGTATTAAAAACTCATAGTAACCTTCCTGTGGGTTTCTGAGACTGTAACTGTCCTTTCTTCAGCAGAGCTGCTGGCGGTTCTGAACTGCTGGCCATGAGGATCCCGGCCCATAGCGTAACCACTACACCACCAGGGCTCTGAAGTAATGCATGCATGCACAACATTACACACATCCTCTGAGTAGCAGCTGTTGAATTTCAGAGAGCAGACTGGCATGGAAGCAGTACTCAAATCAAAAACACAATGTCATTAGTGCCAGAGGTCATGCCCCCTTCCAGCCTTTGGCAATTGCTACCAAGGGCTTTTACTACCACTGGCAATTACAGTACTCACTTGTGCTCTAACACGTAGGTTTGTTTGACCTGATTTTTTTTCATTTAGGGTGACCTTTACTGAGCCCGATTCAGTTCACTCCACAATATGTTGGCATGCTTGTTTACATTTTATCTGTTAAGAACTACCTTGCAATTCTCAGTATGCTATAGCTTTTTTACTGATAGAATCCTGCAACTCCTTGTCTCTGTTCTCCTTCTGATAAAACATGATCTTATTTTAAAACATTTTAATAATTTAACTCCTCACCTAATTCTCTTACATGACTTATACGATCAACCATAGATCAATTCAAAAACCAATTGGGTAGCTTAGTTTGCAATGCCCTTGCTGTGCAGTGATTTCCTTGCTATGGCTCTCAAAGTCATAGATTTTGAAACTCCCATAACACAGGTGGGTGGAACCCTGCATAAGGAGTGTGTTTCTGCTTTTCCTAATGAGTCTGGGTGAAAAATGTGAAGCAAGATAGTAATAGGATTATATGACTCAGCTGTGAAGGATTGTTAAAGTGGCCAAGACCAGTCCGTTTCAGCACACTAGCATTTAGGATATTGATATTTATGCATTACATTTCATTGATGATTTCCACTTATTCCAGATTCATACTTCCCACATTCAGAGTTACAATTATTAGTAGATTTTTGCAACTGCTTCTCTCTTTATTTGGTTTTAAAGAGCAACATTTATTATTCCATAATTTCTGTGGGTTAAGAATTTGGGCACAAGTCAGGGTGCAGTATAGCACTCTTGAAACATACAACTTTCCTCTAGTTCTTTTTTTTCCCTAGCTCTTTAAATTTTTTTTTTATTGGGGGCTCTCACAGCTCTTATCACAATCCATACATACATGCATACATCGTGTCAAGCATATCTATCCATATGTTTTCATTATCTTTTTCAAAACATTTTCTTTCTACTTGAGCCTTTGGTATCAGCTCATTTCCACCCCCACCCCCACCCCCCATGTCCCCTTGATAAGATCCCCTTGCAGAGGGGTCTTGGGGAGGAGACGAGCCAGTCAGGATGCAATGTAGCAACAATTAAAAATACAACTTTCCTCTAGTTCCTAAAAGTTTCCTCCCCGCCCCCACTATCATGATCAGAATTCTACCTTGCAAGTCTGGCTAGACCAGAGGATGTACACTGCTACAGATAGGAACTGGAAACACAGGGAATCCAGGGCGGATGATCCCTTCAGGCCAGTGGTGTGAACTGATTCTCATTTAATTGTGCCCCATCATAAAATGAATATCTCAAAAGTTTTTCTCCCACAGGCTTTACTCCAGTCACATGATCATGGTCGACTTTACTTTGGGAAAGCAGCTCTTCCTCAATCCTATTTTGAGTGCTTTTGACCTGAGGGCCTCACCTCGTGACACTGTGTCTGACAATGTTCTGCTTCTAGCCATCAGTTCTTCAGTATCTCACTGTCTCTATGCTGTGCATATGGTTTTCGGTGGCTAATACCTCTGAAGTGAACAGTTGATTCCTTCTTTGTAGTCAGTTCTTAGACTGGAAGCTCCACTGATCCTGCTGGGATTGGAAAGACCAGTGACATAGCTTTCAGTATCACAGCAACACACAAGCCACCACAGTACAGCAAAACTGACAGACAAATGACAGAATCCTCTTCTACTACACTCTAATTACAGTAAAAAAAATTAGAGGAAAATCATTAGAAGGAAGGTTAAGAAATGCCATAGAGGCTTAGAGGCTATGTCTAACCTCTTCCAGTTACACAAAAGGGGAAGGAAACCCCCATTCCACAGCAGCCCAAGGCCTAGCTAAACCCTTCTACCCTCCAAACTTCTCACCAGTTCTGCCAGCAACCATGTCTCCCATACACTCTACTTTTCAGCTGGGTCCAACAATTCATTGCATTGGCTTACAGCATTCAAAGAACATATGGTGGCGGGCTGTTTAGGAAAGTTAACAGGTTACAAATGCTCAGGCTGCAAGTTTTTGAACAAGACAGACTCTTTTCTGCCATAGCTTCATTCAGGCCTTTCTTTGGCCCTCAACCTCTCGGGTTAGGCTCTGCCCGGCTTCACCCATACTATAGAGCTCTAATTTTAGGGATGTCAAATAAATGGCCAAAGGGCATGTCACTCTACTGTAAGCCTCAACCAAAAGGTACTTAGCTCTTGTTTGATGGGTCAGCAGTGTAGCTATTCCAATTAAGTACTTTAATATGAATGAAAAATGGAATGGTATGATGTCTGGATGAGGTCCTAATAAAATGGTTTGAAAGAAAAAAGTGGTATTTCTAAAATTAAATTTTTTAATAAACTAAAGGTAACGTTTTAGAAAAATGGGATAAAAGGCAGAGATTGACAGAAGGAAAAAAAATAAAACAGATAAGTACAGAAGTTCCAACAAGTTTATATTAAGCTTTCGAGAAAGAAAGAAAGAAGTATAAGATTAAAAAGGAGTTATCAAATCAGAACACTTTTAAGGACATAAAGGTCAGGGTCTTTTCAAGTGATCTGACAAATAAAGAAAGATGGCTAAAACTAAGGTATAGAATCTCCCCCCCAAAAAAATAGAACACTAGAAAGAAAGCTTCTCCAAAGGAGGAAAAAAACCCTAAATAGTCCTAAGAATTATAAAAATAATCTCACCAGGCTTTTGAAAAACAGTATTAAAATCTAGAAGAAAAGTAGTAATGGCCCCCAGAAAATTTGAGTTAAATTTTTTCAATGCAAATATTATACCAGGCCAAATTATTGATCAAAAGTATACCTTTAGATACATGAGCCCTTCCCTGAGGAGCCCCGATGGCATAGTGAGTTATGTGCTGGGCTGTCCAATGCAAGGTCAGCAGTTTGAAACTGCTAGCCTCTCCATGGGAGAAAGATGAGGCTTTCTATTCCTTTAGAGAGTCACTCTCCGAAACTCACAGGGCGGTTCTATTCTGCCCATATGGTTGCAGTAAGGTGGAATCAACTAGATGGCATGAAGTTTGGTTTGGTTTTGAGTCCTCACATCAGCCTTGGTGGCACTGGCAGGTAAGTGTTGAACTGCTAGCTATAAGGTTGGTGGTTCAAAGCTACCAGCTATTCCTCAGAAGAAAGAAGAGACGATTTGCTCCTGTAAAGACTTACATGAAACCCTATATAGGGTCGCTGACTAAGGACTACCACTAGTCTGTCCATTTCTTAGTCTGTGGTGGCTTGTGTGTGGCTGTGATGCTGGAAAGCTAGTCACTCGTATTTCAAATGCCAGCAAGGCCACCGAAGTGAACAGGTTTCAGCACAGCTTCCAGACTAAGAACAGACAAGGAAGAAGAACTTGACCCCCCACTTCAGAGGACGGAGTTGCTGAAAACCGTAGGCAAAGCATTAAAGCATTGTCAGATTCTGAGGGCCCAAGGAGTAGAAGTAGAACCTTGTTGGAGACAGTGCCAGAGGATGGGTGCCTTGGGTCAAAGGGCACTTGAAATGTAACTGAGGAGAAGCCGATTTCTTGCAATGCAGTCAACTAATGTGAAATGAGTCAGTGGGAGTGGAACCTTTGGGATATTCATTTACTGATGGGGCACAACTTGAGGTAAGGAGAAACAGCTGCAAAAATCTGCTAATGTTTGGAATTTTGAATGTGCAAAGAATGAATCTAGGAAGCTCAGAAGTCAGGCCTTACTGAGCTGAAACGGACTTGTATTGGCTGTTTTGAGTCAGATGATTATATGACTTAGTATTCTGGGAATAAGACAAGAGGAATGTCAAAAAGGGCATCACAAAATCTTTCATAAAGTATAATGCTCTCATGATAGTATTATGTCCACCTTCAAGGAAATCCAATCAATATAACTATTATTTAAATTTATGTACCACCAATGAAAACTAGTGATGAAGAACTTGAAGAATCCCACCAATTATGTCAGTCTGAAAATTAACTTGCAATCAAGATGCATTAATTACTGGCAATGGAATGCAAAAGTTGGAAACAGAGGAGGGAACAGTAGTTGGAAAATATGGATTTTGTGATAGAAATGAAACTGGAGATCGCATGATAGAATTTTGCAAAGCAAATGACTTGTTCATAGCAAATATCTGTTTGTAATACCACAACAGGAGACTAGACACATGAACTTCTCTGGGTGGAATACACAGAAGTCAAATTTACTACATCTGTGGGAAGAAGTCCAATGTCAGCAGCTAAAATCATGACATGAGCTAACTATGGACTCTGACCAATTGTTCATATATAAATGCAGGTGGAAGCTGAAGAAAATTAAAACAAGCCCATGAAAGCCAAAATATGACCTTGAATCTATCCTATCTGAATTTTGATAACATCCAAACATTAGCAGATTTTTGCAGCTGTTTCTCCTTACCTCAAGAACAGATTTGGTGTATTGAGCAGTAATAACAGAATGCATGAAGAAAGAAAAAGACAGGAAAGGAAAAACAAAAGATCTAAGTGGATGTCAGAAGAGACTCTGAAACTTGCTCTATATCATAGAGATGCTAAAGCAAATGGAAGAAAGGATGAAGTCAAGAAGCTGAATAGAAAATTTCAAAGGGCAGCTTGAGAAGACAAAGCCAAATCTTATAATGAAATATACAAAGACCTACAATTAGAAAACCAAAAGGGATGAACGTGCTCCGTGTATCTTCAACTGAAAGAACTCAAGAAAAAATTCAAGCCTCAAGTTGCAATTTTGAAGGATTCAATAAGCAAAATATTGAATGATGCAGGAAACACCAAAACAAGATGGTAAGAATACACAGAGTCACTGTACCAAAAAGAACTAGTGGACATTCCACCATTTCAGGAGGTAGCATATGAGCAACAACCAATGATGCTGAAGAAAGAACTTCAAGTTGCACTGAAAGCATAAGCCAAGACAAGGCTCCAGGAATGGATGGACTACTAATGGAAATGTTGCAACAAGCTGATGAAGCACTGGAAGCATCCACTTGTCTTTGCCAGGTATTTGGAAGACAGCTACTTGGCCAACTGATTAGAAGAGAGCCATATTTGTACATACTCCAAAGAAAGGTGACCAAACAATGCTCAAATTATAAACCACTATCATTGATATCACATGCAAGTAAAATTTTACTGAAGATCATTCAGCAACATTTGTAGCATTATATTGACATGAAGTTGCCAGAGGTTCAGACTATTCATAAAAGGAGTCTGAACAAGGGATGTCATTGCTGATGTCAGATTTTGGCTGAAAGCAGAGAATGTCAGAAATATGTCTACTTGTGTTTTATTGACTATGCAAATTCATTGGACTGTGTGGATCATAACAAACTATGGATATCCCTGAGAACATTGGAAATTACAGAACACTTCGTTGTGCTCATGAGGAACTTGTACATCAAGAGGCAGTTGTGCAAATGGAACAAGGGAATACTGCATGGTTAAAAATCAGGAAATGTGTGTGACAGGGTTGTGTCTTCTCACCATTCCTTCTTACTCAATCTGTATGTATCAGAGAGGATGACTTATATGAAGAGGAATGTGGCCTCAAGATTGGAGGAAGGCTTATTCACAACCTGTGATATGCAGATGATATAATCTTGCTTGCTGAAAGAAAGGACTTGAAGCACTTGCTGATAAAGATCAAGGATTTTAGTTTTCAGTATGGATTACAAGTCAAGGTAAAGAAAACCAAAATCCTCACAACTGGACCAATAGGTAATGTGATGATAAATGGAGACAAGGTTGAAGTTGTGAAGGATTTTGTCTTGCTTGCACCCACAAATAATGTTCATGGAAGCTGCAGTCAAGAGATCAAATGACATGCTCTGTTAGGTAAATTAGCTACACAAGATCTCTCAAGAGTAATGAAAAGTGAAGATATTATTTTGAAGAATAAAGTGCACCTGACCCAAGCAATGATATTTTTAATTGCCCCACATGCCTGTGAAAGTTGGACATTGAATAAAGAAAACTGAAGAAGAATCAATACATTTGAATTGTGCTGGAGTAGAATACTGAAAATACAATGGATACAATGCTAAATGGACAAATCCAATCTGTCTAGGAAGAAATGTGGCCAGAGTGCGCCTTAGAGGCAAGAATGGACTTTGTCTTACTGTGGACATGTTGTCAGGAAAGACTAGTCCCTGGAGAAGGATGACACTTTGGTATAATAGAGAGTCACAGAAGAAGGACCCCAAGGAGATGGATTGACATTGGGGCCGCTGAGCTGGCCTCAAGCATGGGAAGGTGGTGGGGATGGGGCAGGTATTTTGTTCTTTCATGCATCAGATCACTGCGGGTCAGAAATGACTGGATGGTACTTCACAACGACATGATTAGGGAACAGCTGGTGGCACTGGGCTTGTTTTGTTTTTTGTAGTCCTAACTTTACATTACAATTCATTCTTTACATTTTCCAGGACCCTCCTAAATGAGTTTCCAAAACCAGGGATTAAGCAAGTAAATGAGAGCTAGGACAACAGGCATGTACTATCCGGGAAAGGTGACGGGAAATCCCAGACTGATATTGAGGGATCTTACCAGGTGGAGAGCTGACCCAAGAACAGCTCTCCCAGATGCAGTGGAAATGGCTTCCTGCTTTGCGAATCTCACTCTATTCTCTGGCCTCTTATTTATCCCATTATCAGTGTCGCTAATTCTCTACATTACAATATATTTATTTTAAATAGAATAAAATAAAACTTCATGTGCATTTTTTTCTTGTTAAGCTCCCTATTGTTTACATGATTATATTTCCATAGAGTGGGATGGATGGTGAGGAACCATCAGACATTTTTTTTTTACAATCATTTTATAAGGGGCTCATACAACTCTTCACAATCCGTACATATATCATTTGTGTCCAGCACATTAGTACATATGTTGCCATCATCATTCTCACAACACCTGCTTTCCACTTGAGCCCTTGGCATTAGCTCCTCATTTTTCCCCTTCCCTCCACGCTCCCGCCTCCCCCTGAACCCTTGATAATCTATAAATTATTATTATTTTATCATATCTTACACCATCCAACGTCTCCCTCACCCACTTCTCCGCTGTCCGTCCCCCAGGGAGGAGGTTATATGTAGACCTTGTCATCTGTTCCCCCTTTCTCTTTTACTTTGAAAAAATACTACATTTACCATTGAAGGAAATAATGGATATTTGTAAAGTGTAAAAACACTCAGAAGGAAACAAAGTCACATTTCTCTTCTAACAGGTATGGAGAAAATAAACTTTTCAGGGGGAGAGCCATTTATTCATGACCGAGGAGAATACTTAGGCGAGCTGGTGAAGTTCTGCAAAGTAGATCTACAGCTACCGAGTGTCAGCATTGTGAGCAATGGAAGCCTGATCCGGGAGAACTGGTTCCAGCGTTATGGTACATTATGTTGGCTGACACATCAGCTATTGTTACTCTGCTACCATTATTAGTGTTTTCCCTATTTCCTTCCATTCTGAGTCCTAAGCCAGAACTGCTGGGGAAAAGGAAGGGAAAATAAATAGAACTTGTTTAAACTAACTTCTTTTTAAGTTAGGCATGGAGTTATGACACTTTTTAGTTTGGTGGGGCTTAAAGTAGACAAGTATGGGAAGATAGATATCAGAAAAAAATGTAAGTATAGCTATTTGTGCATTTCCTTTTAGCTAATATCAATAGTTAAAGTCTTAATTTAGCCACCAATGGGAAATTTATTAGATTAAAAAATGTAAAGTTCTGATCTTTATGTTTGTTTGCAATTACTATTCAATTATTAAAATACTGGTGTGTCTCTTAATAGTCTCACCTGTCAATCATGTTGGGACTGAGAGAGTAGGCCTTTTATTTGGCAGCACAGTGGCTGCTCAAGAATGTTGAACAAAATATCTCTATGGGGGCTAATTACATCAGAACGTCATGGTGAGCAAACGGTCTATATTGGGGGGAATTCAGAGGATTCCAAAGTGTAGTGTAGGCTAAGAAGCACTGGACCTTACGATTCTGAGATTGGTATACTGCCAGCCACTGCCCTGCTTAGCCAGGAACAGATGTGGAATGTTCCAGGGCTGCCAGACTCATGACCATCATTGTACACTCGCTTTGACAACTTGTGTATAACAGTCAGGGCAAAGCAAACACACATATAATCAATAAAAGAATATCTTGATGTCCCCCAAGTAACAGATGATATTCAATTAAATCAGAAAAATAGAACAAGGAGGCTCAAATAAGTGACCAAAATGGCTAGAAAATGTTTCTGAGTAGGAAAAGTAATAGTGCTACCTGACAGGGAATTCAAAGGACTTCTCCAGAGGATCCTCAAGGGATCCCTATTGTTACAGTGGTGATGCATTGGGCTGCTGACAGCAAGGTCAGCCATTTGAAGCCATCAGCTCCATGGGAGAAAGACAAGGCTTTCCACTTCTCTCAAGAGTCACGGAAACCCACAGGGCAGTTCTACCCTGTCATAGAGAGTGGCAAGGAGTTAGAATCAACTCAATCGCATTGAGTTTGGTTTGGAAGAGATCATGAAAGAGCTCAAGGAAAACACACCCACAAACAGGAACACAGAATGAAACTCTAAAACAATTTAGGAAAACACTCCAGGAACAACACAACAAAATTGAAGGCAATGAGAAACCATATAAAAACGGTGATCAGAAACACAATATCAACAATAAAATTTCAGAAATGAATAACTTAGTAGAAGGACATAGGCATAGAATTGACGCAGTAGCAGGTCGAATCCTTGAAATAGAGGCCAAATCCTTTGACATCAATTTGTGTGAGGAACAATCAGGAAAGAAGAATGAAGGAAAATAAAGTCTGAGAGTAATGTGGGATATTATCAAGATACATAATATACATGTGATTGAAGTTGCAGAACAGGGAGTGAACAGAAAAAAAATAGAGCGAAGTTTTGAAAACTTACTGCCAGTAAATCATTCCTTCTGTCATGAAGATGAGGAGATACACACTTAGTCAGCTAAATCGGCTGCAAACATCAACAGATTCACAAGACGTTGCTGACATATCACACGCAAACATTTGAAAACAAAAACCATAGAATCTTAAGAGTAGCTCAGGAAAAACCAAATGCTACTTACAAAATGGAGCCAGTTAGACTGAGCTCACAGAAAAACTAAGTCTTACCCACAGAGGAGCCAGTAAGACTAAGCTCTGATTTCTGAGCAGAAATCGTGCAAGCAAGAAAACAATGCAATAGCATATAGAAATCCTGAGAAAGGTCGTCAAGCAAGAATTATGTATCTTATCAATTTTGTCCCTGAGATATAATCGTGAAAATAGGACGTGTCCAGATAAATAGAATATAAGGGTATTTAGAAAAAACAAAAAAGGTAAACTTCACAAGAAATAATAAAGGGATTCCTTTGAATAAAAAGTCAACAGTGCCACACAATAACTTGAAATGACAGCCTATCACAGTAAATCCAAAAAACCAAGAAAAGCAAATATAAACAACTGAAAATCACCCAAAGCCAATGGAGAAGAAATCAATGAAAGACACATTTCAGCGATACTGCGCTGTGTTCCAGTAACATTCCAGTGGCACAGCACTTACGGGATGCATTGCAAGGGAGGGACTGTTCATCAATCAGACCGCCCTGAATCTTGGTTTTCTCAGCATTTAACACAGTACCACCTGACATTAAATATGGTATCCATAATATGTAGATGACGAATCAAATATGCATGATGTTAAGAAGAGGATCTTAAAAAGATTAGGGTTTTTCATTCGAGCAATTTTGTTCATGTGGAGTGGGTAGAAGTCAGTCTAGAATTGCTGTCAATATGCCTAACAAATGAAGGGTAAAGTAGTATTTCAGTGGTAGAGCTTTTATCATCCACGCTGAGTATTGCGATTCCTTGCCAATGCATACTCACCATCCCTTTGTCAGTGGAGGCTTGTTTGTTGCTTTGATGCTGAACAGGTTTCAGATCTAGACTAAGATGGACGAGGATGAAAGGCCTTGAAATCCACTTCTAAAAACTCTGCCAATGACCCAACGGCCTAGTAGTCCCCATTACATATCGGGACAAATTCCATGATACCTAACAAGAACAAATATTTTAAAATGGTCTCACCCAGCACTAAGTATCATGCACAGTTCAGTGATGTTTGTGACTTCTAAGGGAAATTGTCTTTAAAAAGTAAAAAGGGGAAAAAAGATAAGTGCAAGATACATTTTATCATAAAGAGACAAACTACCTAAAGAGCTTGGTTTTGTAATAAGAAAATTGAAAGATTTTCACTTTCTCTCAGGAGACTATTTGGACATTCTTGCTATCTCTTGTGATAGCTTCAATGAGGAAGTGAATGTCCTTATTGGTCGGGGTCAAGGAAAGAAGAACCACGTTGAGACTCTCCAGAGACTGAGGAGGTGGTGCAGGGATTACAGAGTGGCGTTCAAGATCAACTCGGTGATTAATCGGTTCAATGTGGACGAGGATATGAATGAGCAGATCAGAGCCCTCAACCCTGTCCGCTGGAAAGTGAGTCCATCCTGTGGCTTGTTCGGATTTTCATTAAGAAAACACCCTGGGAAAAGAAAAGAAAACATTCAGGAGAGACTTTTAAAAAAAAATGTAACAATAACAGTAATGATACTAATCTTGAGAACTCAGGGCTTAGTGTATCAGCCAGGCAACCTGGTCCCAAACCTTCTTCCACTTGCGACATAGAACTCCGTAAACATTCTTTTTTTTTTTTTAAATGAAATATTCCATGCTTTATTTAATATTAATTCCAAAAAGAAAACACAAGTATATCTCATCTATATTTAAGTATATTTTTTTAACATCAAAATTTGGGCTTTT